CAGCACGGTGGGACAGACATGGGCAGTGGGTGGAACCGTACGAACACAGGCTGCTTGCTTTTAAAAGGGTAGGTCAGAGTCAGAAGTAAAAGAGAAAGGGCGCCCAGAGGTCTTCCACGAGTACGACTTTCAAGCTTTCTGGCAGGGACCACCTGCTTCCTGGTGCCCAGAGGGCCCGTCACCTCTGTGGCTTCATCCATGCTGCTCCTCTCTCAGTGAGGGAGAGACCACCTCTACGGTCCAGCAGGGCCACGGCCAGAGCTCGCCGGCTCAGCCATCAAAACACATTTTCTTCTTATGGAAGTATCACAAGAAAAAAGAACAGAACACTGGAGGAACTTAATTTGTGAAGTGCCACTAAGACGAAGGGGCAAAATCATGTCTCAAAGAAAGAAACCTCAGACATGCAGTAGATGCCTTCAGTCTTTACTCCAGGTCGCTCAGTAAACAAAAGCTCACACAGGATGGAACTCACACACACTGGTTTGGCAGTCCTTTGTTTTTTTTTTTGCCTTGGACAAATTTCCCACCGACAGGTACAGCCCTTTTTTCTTAATTAACACAAAATATAAAGTGGCTAGGTGAAGTCTGTTTTTGTGGTTCAGAGTATTTTGCAAAATAAGCTTATGGATGCTGAGGGGGCATGGATGTCCCCACAGCCCCTCCCGAGTCAGGGTGGGTGCTGTGTAGATTTCCATGCCCTGAGGTGTGCCCGTGGGGGCATGGAGAGTCCTTATCTCACGCCACCGAATTCCTGACAATACTACTGGAGCTAATGAAGTAAATCATTTTGGAAAACATTGAATTTGTAGAGTAATAGATTCAAATGACTCTAGGGGATAGTAGATGAAGAAAAGGTTCACAGTAACTCAGTGAATAGGAAATACTCGTTTAGAAGCAAAGGTACGGTACTAGAAACCATGAACAGAAGAAAATCAAGCTCTCAATTAAAAAAAGGAAAGACAGTTACGCATCTGCCTCGCAGAGGGCATTTGCACAAACAGCAAAAAGCATTTAAATCCCCAGAGCCCCCACTGGAGCCCTCTCCCACTCTGTCACCAGGGTGTAAATCCTGCTTTGTGGTATGTTCTCAAAATAATAATTTCTGCAGTACAGTTTGAACTTGGCTTGTAAAATTTCAACATAACATGGCACAAAATCTACAAACAGAATATACTGCAAAACACCTTTCCTTAATAACACTGTTATTTCTAAAAAAAAATCATTTATCCAGGCAACACATGTGCAGGAAATGTAAATTTCTGAAATAACCTCCACAGGAGTTTGGAAGTATTGGGATCCTTCTGGAAAGTTGGTGCGACTTAGACACACCTGCTTTTCCTGGAAAGGGACCCACGGCCAGAGTGGATGATACAGGGCAGGGGCTGGTACACCAGCACCAGCACGTGGAGCTGCCTTGCTCTAGAACAGCACGAGGGAACCCTCAGTTCCCATGTCATTAACTGCCACTAACACAGTCTGGACTAGTTCCTGTCCTGCGCCTGAGAGCTAAGATGGCGCAAGGCCAGCAACCGAATCGAAAGAGCTCTTTGAGAAGCGGCGCCTGCCGTCAGCACAGGACCAGGGGATTTCCTAGCACGGTGGGCTCTCTGACTTCCATAGTTCTGAATACCGCCTACAGGATGGACCACACAAGGAAGCCACTGTTCTTGGATGACGTGCACTGTGGTAAGGTGTGGGCCTGGAGCAGGCACCAGGTGCCCGGACTGGTGAGCCCACCTTGTGACTAAGCTGAGCAGCTGTGGCCTTCTGCACAGCCAGAGGGCCCTGGTAAAACTAGTGGTGTGTCCCAGGCTCTCGTTCAGGACACATCGCTTGGCAAAGGAGGGCGGGGAAGAGGTAACTTGGCAATGCAAGGAGACAGAACACATCATCACTTCTTGGCAATACACATGAAATGCCGCCGTTTGGAAGGGCTTCCTCCCTTACAATGGACCGTTTTAGTCTCAGTTTATCTTTTCTTTTCTTTTTAAAAACCTGGCAGAGAGCATGAGAAAGAGAAAAGATTTGCATAGCCAGTTTTGGAAATGTCTAGTTGGCTGTTTGAACATTAAAAATGTGAGAAAAGAAACATAAATTGATGGCTCCTTGGCGTTGTGGACATTTAGGTTTGGTTTTTAAGTGTGAATTTAAGCATTTTTAAGGTGATCGTGTCTATCTCCTACGGGTGAGCAGTGTTAACGGGCAGGGCTTACACAGGAAGAGATACTTTCTGTGATCCCGCAGTGCTGGAAGGCAAGGCAGCTGCTTGGTGTGACAGGATGGAATGAATCGGTCCCAAACAGCTGCCACACACCCCTTTGATGAGAGATATTTTTAAAAAACTCTTTTTTTTTTTTTTTTTCTGAGCAACAAAAGAAAGCACAGTACTACTAGGGACATGGATGTTAGTAATTACCACACACTGAAAGTATCTTGTTTGGCATTAAAAGTAAAACTCTGAAAAAACATCTTAAAGATTCTATTTAAAAAATAATTTTGATCTAAGGAATCATTTATGCAAAACCTGGAAAATATCTGGAAACGTCATAGGCTGTGAAATAATTAAAAACAAAAAGAAATGACTCACAGGAGATAGTTATTTTATTGTAACTTTTCAAACAGTAAAAAAAAACCAATCCCCCCCCCTCGTCTTTTTATTTTTATTTTTTGCTTTTGCTGCTCCTATGCGCGTGGGGCATCCTTTCCGGAAGAGATGTCAGCTGCGATGGAGACAAACCCCATCCTGCTGCAGTTTCTCAGGATAAGCTGACCGCAAAGCCAGGCGCTCGCGCCCTTCTTAGGATTTTTGGGCTGTTCTAAAGCTCTTACAGGTTTGGAAGTACTCATCTGCGAGTGAGGATTTTACCCATCTTCTCCGTATTCCTGGGGACAAGCTCTCTCCTTAGTGAGGCAGGGTTCGCGCCTCAGTGTCCTTGGCTAGGAATGGTAGTCTCCAGAGGTAATCTCGGAAGGAAGAGGCTGCATATTGCTGCTCAAGACAGGGTAGCTAAGGACACATTTTTTTGTTTTTTAAATTTTCCTCAAGAAATGTAAGAGGCACCAAAAAAGAGACCACTCAGGGCTCGGCTGCTTCCACAGTGTGGAATGGGGCCAGAGGCAGGGCCAGTCCTACCTGTGGGGGGCCCCAATCACAGTTCACCCCTTTACCTGGCTGAACCCAGATGGATGCGGGTGGGGTGGGTGGGTTTCCTCTCTTCCCAGGCTCTCTAAGCTGCTTCCTATGCAAAGAGGGTGGGCTGGGTTTCAGAGCAGCCTAGCACGGGGCTTACACAGTGACCAAAGGGCCATCCTCGCCCGTGTCCCGGGACACCGACGTGACATCGCCTCCTAAGGGGCCATCCGGCCACTGCTCGCTGTGCACGTGTCCTCAAAGGAGAAAAAGTGAGCGGGCGGTCCTATCTGCTCCTACGTGGGCCTATTCGAACCGTGAGTACAGAACCTTGCAGCTGGGGCCCAAGGTGTCTGGGGAAGGCGCGTCACCCGAGCTGCCCGGCACCAGAAGCCATCGCGACGCCCACGGCGCCCCGCGAGGTAGGTTGTCCGGTGCCCGTCCAGGTCGCCCGCGGCTTGGCTGGCAGTGTGAATGCGGCTGAGCCGGAGGCTGGGGAGGAGGTTTTGCTTATGAGATGGAGCCGAGCGTTCCCAGCGCGTCAGCGGGCGCCAGGTGCCCGCGCTCGGAGATCCCGGGCTGGGGAGCAGGCGGGGGCCCCGCGGAGGGCTCCGCCCAGCCCGGGCCGCGCGTCTGCGCTCAGCGCGGGGCGCCCCAACCAGCCGCGCGCCGGCGGCCGCTCCCCGGAAGGGGCCGGTCGCTAGATCCGTGAGAAAACAAGAACGGGGAAAAAGCATGTAAAACACTCCCTTCTAAAAACAAAGGGCTGCGAATTTCTTTATTTCTCTTATAGAGGAACAAAAATACTCTTGCAATGGCTATTGAGTTTCCACAGGTACGAGGCAGATGCTAGGCTAGCACACCCACTTCCAACAGTATGACTTGTTTCCTATCCGTCTACTACCTGAGTGGCGTCAGTGTAGGTTCAGGCACCATTAGGAACGTTTGACCAAACACACACACGGCACTGACAGAGGAGGCGCCGCCTTCCGGAGGACCAGGGCGTGTAAAAAAGACACCGACAGAATGGAAAAGGAATCCCGCGGCCGGGCGGCATCAGGGCCGGGCCGCGCGCGCCTCGCGCCGCCGCCGCAGCTCCTCGCGGTAGCAGCACGAGCAGAAGTGCTCCGTCTCCGCGCGCCCGTAGAAGGCGCAGTTCTCGCGCACGCAGC